CCTGACAAATTCTTTGACGGAGCCTGATCCTGTTCTCCAGGTAGTTATTCCTGCTGCCACTGAAATACAGTCTTGTAATCATATGGAAATACAGCCTAAACCCCCATGAGCTTTGTCATCAGCTTAAATACAGACAGGGTTTTCCTGCAAATCCTCTGCAGCAGACAGATTTGTTGTGCTACAGTGTGACTGCGGGGCTGGGAGAAGAAAAGAGGATTATCACTAACACCTCAAAGCCACTGCATCAAACAGCAACACCTGGCCAGGTACCCAGCAAAGGTAGAACAGAGATACCAGGTGAAAGAAATACCAGAAGCTCAATGCAGCTGACATTTCTGGTACAGTCCTGCCACCTTGAACTGCTGCTGATGGCCCCAAAGCATCACATCCAGCGTGCAGTGATGAGCTCCATCACCTCATACAGGCCTGCACATCAGGCACAGCTCTGGAGACATGAACACATTCACACAGAGGCAGTAAGCAGCCCTACAGTAGGGCACAGTGCACAGCTGAGCTGTAAAACTGTTTGTTTTGGGACATGGCAAAAAACAATTGGAAAAATATCAATCACTAAGTGTGGAATCCAAAAGGCACCATCAGTGCCTGAGGAAGCTCCTAGAATCAAGTCACCAGCAAAACATATTTTGGGGAAAACTTATCACTTTATGCAGGTCATTACCCTCTTCCTGGCTGCTCTTGCTAGGGACAGGAGCACGAGGCTGGACAGATGCGTCCTTGAGTGCTCCTACATACATTCTTGGGGTCTTTGACCCATGCACAGAGATTGCCTTCACTCCAAATTAGCCTTGCTGACTTTTCTAAACAAGACCAAGGTCAGGGTGCAGCTTTGTGCTCTTGCCATTTGCCTGAAGTCGCAGTACTTTGCCTGCACCGGGAATGCAAAGCACAGAGGCAATGCACAAACAAGGAGGATCACTGCCAGGTAAGCGTAAAACCATCACAAACAGGGCATTTGCACATCATCTGTCAAAGCCTTTCTGGTGGGGACCACTGCCACACCTGACACCTTGCGTGCAAGGCCCAGCTGTCTCCAGCCACGGTACACAGGTTGCTAACTAAACAGCCCAGCTGAGAAGTGATCCTTCACAAGCTTCTGCTTGTTTGCTTATTTTCCAGGCTAACAACATCTGACCCAAAGCAGTGAACACATACATCGCCTTTCATGCGACACAAACAACAAACACAGGCTTTTAGAGAGGCTTGGAGAAAGCTACGGGTGCACATTGGAAAGGGGACATGAATAGGACATCTGGAAGCACCCAAGCATGAATGAACCATGGCTTGGGTTGAGACACAGGGAATGGGCAAGCCAGCAGAGGTCTCTGATCACAATCCAGTGCAGATTAGGAAACAAACTACCAGCCCCAAGAAAAATAAAGGCTGTGAGGGACCACAAGGGAGCAAGCTCTCCCTGTGATCCTCCCATATATAGGAGGATCACAGCCTCCTAGGCTTGGATGGGATGATTGGAAATCTCTGTGCCACTATCAGGGAGCCTGTTCTCCCCAAAATAAGCAACAGATTTTTCAGATTGATTCTCTGCCCCCCAGAATAATGCTGCAGACACATCAGGGGCCTTAGAGACACAGAAGACCCATCAGAAATGCCTTGCCCAGAGGTGTCTGGCTGCTCCCCGCCAGACACCTCTCCTTCCCAGCCAGTTCACCTGACTGCTGCACGCTCTTGTCCCCCAGTCCCACAACAAGCAACCTTGGGACCCTCAAGGAAATGATGAAAATTATTTAGCTGCGTTTTTAAGGCAGAAAATGAGCATGTGGAAGAAAGAAGGAAGGAAGGAGTCTGAACTCGAGGTCTTGCGAAAGCACACGTCCATCAGCAGGAGGCCTTTTGCACATCCTTCACCACTTGAACGTGGCACAAGAGCTGGAAGAGGTGACTGGATTTACACCAGTCACCCCCTCTTCCTGCCACTCCACAGCCAAGCAAAGCATTTCTTGTCTGGTGGCTCAGCACCCTGCTGCAGAGCTCGGCCCCTGAGGACCCATCTCCTCTTCTGGCACTAATTTCCCATGTGCCCTTCCCAGGCTGCTCTATTTTCTAATCTGCTACTTCTCTGAGACCTTTAAATATATATTTTAAATTCCAACCAGATTCTTGGACTTGGCAGATAAACTGTGGGTCCCATAAGAGTCATATTTTCTTTGAAAGCCTTGAATGAAGTCTTTATAAAAAACTTCATTAATATTACTACCTATATGCCTGCTCCCCACTTCCTGTTCAAATCCAAACAGATTCTCCACACAGAAAGACTTTTGAAATTCGCATATTTACTTCCCCCAAACAGCGAGAGTGTTACTGAGGAGTTTGTGGGAGAGTCAGTCCACATGTGTGTTGTCCTGCTGGAGTTTAAAAAAGATGAAGCCTTCTATTCATCGGAGATGAAAAAAGTAGATGCAAGAGAGGAGGATATAAAGCCAGGGAGATTAGGGCTCTGGAGCTCTCTGCTCTGGCCTCGTGCCATCGGCAGAATTTGGCCCATTTTTGCAATTAGATTATATGACAGTAGAGAATCATTACGGCTAACGCAGTACAGCGTGTACAAGGGTGTGAAAGCTGTTCCTGCCAGCAATAGTTAAAATTAGTAAAGGAGTTGTTTCAGAAGTATCATAGGTTGTGGTTTTGTTCCCCCCATACAGACTCAATTCAGCAAGAGGGGACAGATGCACGTGCCCGGCCTTCATCACAAGTGCCCCACCGAGAGGCAGCTGGTACCTGCAGCAACCACGTCCTGCTCACTGCAGTGATGGGGCGAGCTCCCCGTGCTGAGAAATTGGTTGGAACTGAACCGGGACTGCAGAGGAAGGTGAAAATACCAGAGAAAACACAAATTCAACATGTCATAACACCGCTGTTTTGAAGAGTCAGCTTCTTCCGAGGTCACCTCGCTATCAAAGTTTGAGTAACAGCAACCATTAGCCGCAGACAGAGAAGGGTAACGTGCAGGCACCAGGGTGGATAAGAGACAGACAGCGAGAGATACAGCCTTCTGGGATGTGGTCCCAGCTCTGTCATTTACCCTGTTTTCAATTTATCTTTTCCAAGGCAAGGCCAAAAACATACGCAGCTCGGCAAGCTATAGCCTATATGCCATGGCATGCCAGTAATCTCCCTGAAGGCTACTTAAGTGTTTCCAATTATTCAGGCTTTCAAATATATCACAAGAAAAGTGATTGGTACAGGAGGAACCTACTCAGTTCTTTCAGACCTTTACATGCACCACGTAGAATGATCTGCCAGGCATGCACACTTGTAGGACACGCAGCAGTTTAGGACCTCCATTTCCACATTGCTAGAACCAGCACGATCCAAGGAGAAGACCCTGAGCAGGTACACCACACCCAACACTAAGCTGGTTGCTGTTCGTATCTCCTTTGACCAGGAACACTTCACTGATGGCTTTAGAAATTCTCCTTCGACCAGAGCAGTCCAGGTTATTGAACTCAAGTACACCGCAAGCTCATTTATTTGGGCAGGTGACTGGAAGCAGGCCAGACTTGATCCTTATTTTAAAAGGATTTAAGATGGGGGGAGTTTTGAATATGTCAACAGAACCTCTTTAAAGAGTGGTTTGTTTAAAACAGGGCTGTTTTAATTAAGAGGTGGCAAGCAAAGGAAAACAAAACAGAAAAGAAAATCCATAAGAAATTTTCCTAATGAAAAAGTTCGTTCACATTAAGAGTTGTGTGACCTTTCCTTCTGAAGGAACATCAGAAATTGCTGAACAAAGCCCAGAGCACGCGATATCTCATGGGAAGCTGTAATCAGCTATTCAGGGTCCCTCTGCTGCTCACCAGGCAACATTCCCAGGCACGAGGCATCCCGCACGCTGCTGCTGCGAGGGGCTCCCCCGACACGGGGACCAGGACAGGAGCACACCAGGGAGCGGTGGACGCGAGCGAGGCAGCCTGCCGATGAGCAGCAGGAACATAATGCAAAGCATCACGTGGAAGAACTGGAATATTCCGATCTGGGATTTTGCCTAAAAAAAAAATCCCATTGGGATGGGGGACGTTTTCCAACCAGCTCTTGTTTTTAGTTTATTTGTCAAGGATAGCTATAGCCCACTCCAATTTGTTTTGCGTACATAACAAAAATTAGAATTGCATCAGATCTTGGCTGCACGAGGTTGATGCGGAGTAGCTGCATGCCGAGTAGCTGCTTGACACCATGCTGGGAGAGCTGCCTCCCACCCCCTTACTGCAGTGCTGCAACCAACTCGCCACTTGGCCTGAACTAATTCCAGTTGCACACCATGCAGCTGGTGCAAGGTTGGGGGGAGCGCTGTGACCACTGAGCTTGGCTCTCATCTCACCACAGCTCCGCAGAGAGGCCACATCCAGCCCCGTGACTGCTGGATTTCTGGTGGTACTTCTCTACCTCCCCTTCCCCAGGTTGCAGAGGAAGCTTCCTTGGCACCTGGAGAGCAGCCTTGACAGGAAGGCTCACAGAATTACAGAAAGCCAAAAACGGTTGTCATTTACCCTGAAAGACCTTTCTTCTGCAAAGTCCTCAGCGTTAGGGTCTACCTCAGAAGGTGCTGAGCACTGAAGTTAGATTGGAAATCCTGTTTGCAGCACAGATTTCATTATGAAGATCTATAATCATAGTACCTCAATACTTACCATGGCACACGCTGTGCCCCGGCATGTGCAGAGGGAAATAGCACACTGAATTTGAACTGCTGCAACTGAGGATGAGTTTTCAGTTCATAATGGGAACCCACTGCAATGAGAGAGAAAACTCCAGCACTGGCTAGTGCTTCGAGAGGATCAAAGGGCAGCAACATCCCAGCAGAGAGCACAGGAAGGGTAAATATCCATGTGCAGCAGAGCCAGGGATCATTGTTTAAAAGCACTCTACAGAACAGACAGAATGCTGAAACCTTAAGAAGTCATCCCCTCTCTTTTTTTTTTTTTTTTTAAGGAAGGAAGGAACATCTGTGGGAAGTATTTATGAGATATATAATGCACCTCGCATATTACCCTAAGGGCCATCTTTAGAGTGGAAAATAAAGCTTCCATACGAGGAGTTTGTTAACATCGCAGCAGGAATCAGATGCAAACACAAAAGCTTGCTTGTTCTGTAATGACTTGCTGAGATAAGTGTCCCTTATCAGCGGTACTGTTTTCTTTTGGAAAGGAAGGGACTCTGTGTGTACAAGCAGGGGATGGAAGTCAATGAAAACAGAAGGCTGGAGAGGTCTGAATGGGTATTTTGTACTGTAATTCTAGCTTGGGGCTGCTTTTTTGGGTGTGGAAATATCAAACACTGACCTCCCACTGACGGTCCTTGGCAGTGGGATAAGTCACTCATTTATTTTTGCTCAGCCACAAAGCTGCTGTGTAACATGGCAAGGTCCTCGCGGAGCTACAGTGCCCCGATACATCTCCCAGGCAAACAGCACGCACCCAGCCCTCGCATGCCCCTGCCCAAAATATCCCCGGGCTCATGCCCACAGCCAGGTGATCCCCACAGCCCTCAGGCAGCTCTTTCACTTGGGGAAGAAAAGAGGAATTGTGCAGGAGAAGGTTGGCGTGGGAGAGGTGGAAGGATGCCTTAGGCATCCTCTGTTATGGCCAACAAGGCCCTCGCTAATAGGGACCGGGGGCGGTGATGTCCTCCTGCTTCTGACCTGGAAACACCAAAATAAGCCAGGTTGAAATGAGCCATGTGAAAGCACCACACACACACACACACACAGGAGAAGCTAGGTGTGCAGGAATTTTCCTCTATACAAAGGAATAGATATATCATTCTTTTAAACACAAAGGAAAAAAAAGGAAAAGGTGAAGGAAAAACAGGGGTTTGCAGAGAGATGGCCATCTCCGATCTCAGATTTCTCAACAGGAAGGCAGCTGTGGGCTCCTCGGGGTCTTGGCTCAGGCCTCCCAGTGTCCACAAGAAGTTTTATCTTGGTCTTGGGGCTGCTTTAACAGCAGGGAATGCTCTGTTATGGGCTGATGATACATTAATGAAGTGAGAACCTATAGGGAAATGCTGGGCTCTTCTCTCGAGCAAAGCACTCGGAAATTAACATATGGCATCAAGATTTGGGATAATTAAGGCAGAACCATAACCACAGGGAATTCTAGAGAAGTCCCATCAGAACAGAAATAGTCTCAGCATCTCTCTGCTCTCAGGGGTGTGCTTCAGAGCTCTCTGCTCCATTGGGGGCTCAGCCAGAGGACCTGCACAGCTGTCCCAAACCATCCCAGCACCTGCAGGCAGGCCCCAGATGCTGACATCCAGAGGTCCCCAGCCTTTCATCGCAGGGCAAGTTTGGGATGTGCTGTACCAGCCCATCTGAGGTCTCCCCTCCTGCTGCATTAACTTGCCTCCTGGTAATCTTACTGGCAGATCTGAACATAACACAGAGCTGTGCCACAGTCTGCAGGGAAAAGCATGGGATCCATCAGCAGGGTACATCAGTGATCCTGTGTCAACAGCCCGTGGCACACGATGCAGAAAGTCACTTGTTCCCAAGCACGTCATCGCTCCTACAAGGCACTAGCTGTGCTCGGTCACACGTTGTTCCATCAGACAGAGGGAGGCTGAAAAGTCTGGATTAAATAAAAGCAAAACAGCTCTGATAACCATCAATGTATCAGTTAACACTGCATTTCCCCACTGGCTTCACGTAAACAGAGGGGACGGAGCACAAGACTGGAGGGAACTTGCAGCCCTGCCCTGCCAGATGACAGACGCCAGCTTACTGAACACACGGCTGTGCCATCAGGTCTCACGGCCAAGTCAACGTGGATAAGTGGCCAAGAAATCACAGCTCAAACTTGCCTTTCATATTTAAGGCTACCCAGCTCAGCCGCACTCTGCCTCCAGAGCAGCCAGGTCTGGAACATCCTCTGAGCAATCCTCAGGACACAATTTTTTTTTTTTTTTTTTGACCTATGCCAAGTACCACTGAGAATCCAGTCTGATGCTGCAACACATCTCTGCTCCTCCACTGCTAACCAGCCACTAATACCTACACAGACTCTGTTCCATAAACAAGTCTGAAACTAGACAGGGGGATCAAGGGATTTTGTAGGATTTGCATGCTGCAGCCAAGGAACGCTCCGATACCATCCACCGGAGACAAAAAATTAAAAAGACAGGTTGAGGAAATGACAGCCCCCAGGAAGGCACCCACGTGCAAAGGAACAGCTGGAACTTGAAGCAACTGTCACCTTCGAACATGTTTTCTTCTGACATGGATTCAGTATTTCTGAATCCAGAAGCCGTGGAAAGGCAATCCTGAAAGAAAAGGGTTTTAATAAGCAAAGGCCAGCTCCCTGAGATGGAGGTCCTCCTGCTCAAGACAACGCAGCCTCCATCAATGGACTGGCAAGCAGGGAAAGGGAGCAATCAAGAACCCCGACCCCATCCAGGGCAGCCAGTCGGCCTCCCGCAGGGAGCAGCGATGTGCTAAGGCAGAGGCAGGAGGTGGGAGGAAGCTTTCAGACAAACCATCAGGCCCTGCTGAGCAGTCAGCAAAACATTATGGGTCCACACTGTTCTGGGCATCTCGTTTAATTGCATTTTATGGGCAAGTTTGTGGAATTTGGTGGGTAAATGCTGTCTGTGGGAGCAAGGGGGCTGACAGGAGGTTTTCTGTTGGCCGGCTGGCATGCAGCGAGATGGCTTGTTGAGGTCTTCTGGCTACAAACCAGGAGCAACAAGAAACGCAGGCTTTTTGGTGCAAACTCCCTCCCTTTGGTGTGACTTTGATGATGAAAAATAAGGCTCCGCAGAGCAGAGGTGACAGGGTCTGTTTGTGCACTCTGGGATGGGCAGTGGAGGAGCTGGAGGGAGATGTACGGGTATGATAAATACAGAGGCAGGAAGACACATCGCTACCTTGGCTGGAAACCAGCAAGGGCATCTCTGCCTGTGCCATCAGCACAGTGGAATTTGAGGCCCAGGGCACAAGAGACGCACAGGAACAAGCAAGCTCCTCTGTCTCCACGTAGCTGGCATCTGCTTGGAGAGCTCCCAAGGCTGAAACAGTTCATCCGTATTAAAATAAACTCCCTGCGCTTACCTGGCTTGCCCCAGCTCTGCAAAGCAAGGCTTGGTGGGGACTTGAGGAGTTTGCTTAGTGTTTGACACTGCAAAGAGACACTCCAGCAGATGTACATGGTGCTAGCTTTTGCGCACAATATCTTAGTAAGCACAGCACAACATTTATGTTTCGCAGCCAGCTCTTGAGGAGCAGCCAGCCTGCACTATCTCAGGTAAAGGCACAAGGCTCCTGGAGCTGCAGCCTTCTGAAGAAAGCTCAAGCATCCCTAGATGCTTGCAGGAACAGCATGAGAATCTGCATCACCATGAAGCTGACTGCAAGCAAGCCTTTGACAACACTGCGGTGCCAGAACGACACCTCTCCTCATGCTGTTAAATAGACGTGAAAATAAATGGTAATATCTGGTGAGAAGACAGGCAAACCACCAGCACACCTCTTTCCCAAGCTCTACCAGAACAATTGGTTACATACAAGACCATAATTCAAAAAGAAAAAGTCACCGGGGGAAAGATTTTACTGCTCGGAGAAATCCATCACCTTGCGTTCAACACCCTTGCTCCCCTCTGAGACTACAGGGGTATATTTGGAACTGCTCAGAGGTGCAACTGAAACACGAATATTTCCTTGTGGTGCTCACCTGAAAGCCACCTAGCTCAGGAAAAATGCAGAAAGCCTCTTTGCAATCAGAAGAAACATTTCAACCCATAGCCATTTATTGGAACTGAGCAAAGGCAAGCTCAAACTGAAATTCCATTTCCCAACTATCACAGCGATACCTAGATTTACACCCGAAAGAAGCCGACGCTACAGGACTCTGCAAGCTGCTGACATTGCACAGACCGACTTGTCTCAGCAGATACGCATCGATCACGTTGTTCTCTTGGAAAAGAGCAGCGCAGAGCCACTTCGTCACAACCTGGAAGGATCTGGAGAGGTTCCCAAGCAGCAGGTGCAGGGAATTACATCCTGGGCCTCGCCAGCAGCCTGCTAGAGAAGGAGCAGCTGAAGACACCCCTGTCACTTTCCTGGCCAGGCACCGTGGTGAGCAGAAGCAGAGCAAGTCCCGGCTGCCAAATTATGGCAGCTCCTGTCCCAACGTCCCAATCAACAGCACAGAAGTTGAAAACCCTGCTCATCCTGGGATCTCCCATGAACTCTCCTCAACTTTGAATGCGGTACCTTCACTTTTATCTCCCCTCCTATTTCTTGGGGGTTTCTGGGGACCTCCTGGCAAAGCCAACAAAGCCCCATTTTCCTTCAGAACAAGGCTGGGACGGTCATCTGCAGGAGCAGGATCTGGCAGGCTTTTTCCTTCCTGCAATCATGTGGTGGACTGCTCCCAAACATATTCACCTGGTTTTTTAGGGAATCACACAGGGTTTGGTTTTGATTTAGGAGGGATTCCCTCAAGATCAAGCTGAAATTCATCTTCCAGCACACTTGAAAACCTCCCACCTTGCTGTTACCTGCAACTCCTACACGACTGTCCTACACTACCATCCAGATCATTAAGGCACCCGAACACCAGGACAAAACACCACTGCACTACTCCTGATCTCCTTGGAATCTGGGAAGTTCTTCATACCTGCAGGTTCTCCAAATTAGTAATTTGGAAGAAATGAACTACAGATACGAACCATGTCACATTGCAACCCACACCACATTTTTCTAGTTTGTTCACAACATCAAGTAACAAGACATCAGAAACCTTATCTACAAGGTCACTGCTCCTACCCACCCACGGGCCCCCTCCCCATGTTACTGAAGCAGACTTGCTTGCTTTAGCAGGCTGTGTTTTTGACAAGGCCTTGGTATCCCCTAGGCAGCCACAAGCTGCTCCTTTAACCCAGAAACCAGAGATAAGCTACTCTGCCCTGCAGTTCCTATTTTCCTCCCCCGTTATTCAGAGCCAAGTACTAGGTTTGCCCTTTCAGTTTTGTGTAACCTCAGCCATCCTCAGCAGCCCTTGAAAGGAGCCAAGAACAAACTGGTGCTCAAAAATCTCTTTGGCACTACTCTGGGCACTTCAGGATTAATTTCATCCCAGCCAGTTACTTAAAGATCTCTATCGTGAGCCCACACCATCAGTGGCCGTACAGCATTAACCGAAATAGCAAACTGCAACCATGCGGTACGACAGACAAGCTGAGGTTGTGAAATGCTCTGGCAACTTTCACCATCAGTTTCCCTCCAGGAAAGGCAGGAGGCAGAGGAAAGCTTGGTCTTACTCACCACGGTTTTGCCCTGCTGCTGTTTTTTCAGAGGTGCACCTATTCATTTATTCTAGTTTCCACTTTTTGTGTGCTTCTTTGAGTCTCGGGGCACTGAGCAGCTCCCAGTTCAGCTGAGCTCATCACTTCTTATACTCCTGATGTTTCCTTTGCATTGGGACAACTTGCATTTATGCCCTTCATAAGCAAGGCTTTAATGTATTACTGCCTCAGATCAGCTGATTGCTAACAACAAAAAACGAGCGTTCTGGGAGGTATGTGAGGATACTGGAGGCCATGCATTCCCATCTCCAGGCAGCATGTAACTTGTGCTTTCCATCAGAGGTTGCTGCTATAGAAGCCACTTTTACCCAGCCTAAACCTAAGCAGTATCCCTGCTCCCAATGGGAAGAAGGAGGCCAGCCTCCCTTTGCCGTGAGAAGTGTGCGATTTGTGGCCAGGGAGGAGCAGCCAGGACATGCCATACGTACAGCCCACGTATCCCACTCAATCTGCAGCCATTCACATGGAAACAGCCTCACTGCACACATCTTCCTCGTGCAGCTTGGGCCATGGAGATCCTCTGGAGCCCCGGAGAACCACCATGAGGCCACGCCATGCACATGACACTGCACATGCACTGTGTAGCCTCCCATCCTCACTGCCTTTATGGTTTCTCCTCCAGCTGTGCTCTTTAAATCCAGGTGCCCACCTAACGGGCTCCTCCAGTGCTTCTTTTTTTCCACCACACACCCAACCCCGTGCTGGATGCAGCCAGCTCTACAGGGCTGGGCGTTTTCGGCTGGGTCCGCACGCACCTGGGCACAGGCCAGCACTACTCCCACACTTTCCTCCAGGCCATCATCTCACTCCTGCAATAAGGCTCAGTGCAAACCTCTTGTGAACAGACGAGCCGTTCATAACCACCTCCACTTCGCCTTAGTACCCTCCTGCCTTGTGGAACGCATCAAGCACTTTTAGGCTACTCCAGTGCCACTGATTTCCCACCGATGTCCTGTGGTGTAGGCACTGCCCTGAACCCAGCCTAATTACAGTTAAAATTTTCCTTCATCTCTCTCCCTCCTGTCCCCAGAAAGCCTCCCCCACACGTCCTCGATTGCTGTGACCCCCACCTCCCAGCTCTGCTGCCAAAGACAGACCATGGCTGCAACTCCTTCCCTGCTCCCCGGCTAGACCCCAGCACAATAACTGCATGGGCTTTGCTGCTCCGAGACCACGGCCCCTTGCATGTTCCCAACCTACTGAAATCCTGCTTCAGGTCCCAGATCCGCTCACAGCCTGGCTCCTGCAGCAGCCCAGCCTCTGGCCTCGGCAGACGGACTCGCTCCAGCACATATCTGCCCAGAACAGTGCTATGGAGATCTCTTCTTGATCCCTTTGCTTTTCCCCTGTGTGATTCCTCCTCCCACATTTATCTTCTGCTTCTCTCTTCTCTACTGCATCAAAGCAAAGCCACTTCCGTGCACTTCCAAGGACACTTCAGAGCCCCCAACACAAACAACAGCAAAGCGCATCCCTCTCCTCCCTCCAACCTTTTGCAGCTCCTTCCTGCAATATCTCAAAGACCCTGAGAGCAGCCAGGCTGCTGGTGTGCCAAGGCCATCACTTCTCCCAAACCCTGCAGTTTGCAGCTCTGTTCCTGGGGCTGCTACGCTCCATTCGCCCCAACCAGCATCGCAGCCCAGTGACAAGGGTGACAGAGGCTCAGGGACACCCACTCCAGACCCCATCTAAGCCAGAGCCCTCTGCGTGGCAGTAACACAGCCAATGAATTACAATTTAGGAAGACTCGTGCATCTGAACAAACCCAGATTTCTTCCATCTTCCTCGTAAAAGAAAAATTCATCCGATGCAACTTCTTTATGAGGCCAGATTTTACAGACCCTCCAGCTCTCGTTATGGAAAATAAGTGGAAACTCCTGGCAGTGGATTATATTTTTTTGTTGTTTTTTTCTTTCTTAATAATATATATGAGAAAAGCGTACATTATACTCTGCCTACATAGACCTTGCCAATAAAATTTGCTGATGCTTGCAAAACTATGGGACAGTTGTCCAAATGCCTGCCACTTGCTAGTCGTAGACAGTCATGAATTGTCCTTCTTGCTGACAAGTTAATGTTGCATCATAAACTGCCCATATGAAGTTCTGTTGCTATAACACATGACTGAATTCAATATGTCAGAAAAATGATTAATTGCCCCTGAGATTTGGATCTTTAAAAATAACAAATTCAAAAGCCTGATGTTCTTTATTCTGATGCTGGTAGGATTTACATCATGGTTAATAAATAACAGTCTTCCTTCAGAAATTAGGTCATTAGATTATTCTATTTGCAAACATAAAAATGCAATCAGATGGAACTAGTAATGTCTAGGATACACAGACTAGACAACAGTGACATCTCGAATGCTTGGGGGGATTATTACGAGGAAGTCTCGGTCTGACTTTCAAGCGTCTGCAACTTTCGATGCTACAGTGTTAAGGGCAATACGGAAAAATAAAAAAGGTCCTTCAGAACAGAGTCTCAGAACCTGGCAAGTTGTATTTTAGGATATCCCAAAACTCTGGGCAGCCCCTCAGAATAGAAAACTCATCACTAGCCTAGGTGCTGTTTCACTGTGCCTGTCAACCTGCTCAAGCCATCTCTGTCAGGCAGTTTTATGCCTGGCTGCCAAAGGGATCAGTCCACAGAGCACTTGAGATCAGAGCAGCAAGAGGTTCTTCCGTCCCGTCTGCCACGTGAGTTATCATTTCTATAAATATGCTCTGATCTCACCTGTTCTCCATGCTTTTTGCTGCTGTCCCTTCAGCTGTGATCCACAACGATGCCCCAGGCAGAAAAAGCACTATGCTGAGCGCTCCGCCCTGCAGCCAGAGAGACCAGCCTCTCTCTGCTCCAAAGAAAATCTTATTTCCTGGACTTTAAAGCTTCAATTAGCACAAGAATCTGTGTTCCTGTGTGGGCAGACCTCCTAGCAGCTGAGGGCCCAGACTCCGCACGTGGCAGATGCCCTGGGGCCATTTCCACCACCTGTGGGCACACGCCAGGAGGTGGCACGGAGCATCGATGGGACCTCTGCACATGAGAGCAGCACACGATGCTTCCCCGACACCATGCTGCTCTGGGTTTGCACCCAGCCAAAAGGCTTTGCCAGCACAGAGATCTCATGCACCAAAATGCCCAGAAACGGATTATTTGCCAGGATCATGCCACAAACGCTTTGATGGCACGCTTGCTTCAAGGATTCACCACTTGCTCCTGCCTGCGAGGCCCCATTCATCCCTGCTCATCACCAGATCATCTCCTCCTTCTGCTCCTCGGCCAGCATGGCCATGCAGCACCTCCACAAAACCCACCCTCCCTCTGCCCTCCCCCAAAACAGACCCACCTTAACGTGATTACAAATCTGCCCACCACAAAGCCCTTGCACTTGCCCAGTGCACCCAGGGGCACCTGGCCTCCCCCCAGCAGTGCTCCCCAGTGAGTCCATGGGTGGGATGCTCCTGCTGAGATGACCTGGCAAAGCTGGAGATGAGGATAAAGGGGCCATTTTCCCCTTCCTGAGCCATTTCTGACCGTTTGTTCGCACGCCCGGAGCAGCCTTCCCACAGCCTGCACCCACAGGCAGCCTGGGAAGAGCCACTGTTGCCAGGAGGCGCACAGAAGAAGTAAAAGCTAATTATAAGTGATGGCTGGCTTGACAGCAAGGACTTTTAATACAAGCACCACACACAAGTGCCAACACACCGAGCTGTATCCCTTTCTCATCAGCCCTTTGTGCACTGCCGACTGTCCAAGGGAGCTCATCCAAGCTCGTGCAGCCCCAGGTCCAACAGAGCCTGACCTCGGGTCTGCCTCTCTCCACAGGATCGGTGGGGAGCAGATGCAAATAAAGTCAACTGAGATATCACCAGCTGATTAAAGCAGTATGTTCTGTCTCAGTTACATCTTTCAGAAATCCTGGCAGCGCAGGAAGACTCGATAGTTCCCCAGCGCTGGAGGATGCCTTGGCCATCTGGAAGAGACGAGGTGTTTTTTGCCAATAGCACACTTACTCCTGAGAGCAGCGGTGAGATTTGGCACACAAGCACTATTGATTGAGTGGCTTTGTCATAATATAGATCCAGGCCCAGATGTGGGGGAAAAAAATAAAATAAAAGACTCCTGGGACCAGTGTGAGAGCTCATCCCCTGCCAGGAGCATGGAGCATCCCAGGGGACAGAGGGCAGTGGCATTTGGGGCTCCCCATCACTGCTGCTCCAGGCACAGGACTCTTTCTTATTTTCTCTTTAACACACCTCTCCTCTTCCCCGTGAGCAGGGGAAGGTTGGTAAATAGACCCTGAGCTAGCACTGAAGCACAAGCCTGGCCTGTACAGGGTTGTTTTTTTAGAAACGCTCTCCACTGAGGCTTTTCTGTTCCCTCCAGTCTCTGCACCAGGACCCCAAGCTTTGGCCAAGCCTCTGCTCCTAACACTTTTTTGTTTTCTTAAATGGACTGAGAAGTTCTTTCATAAAGTTCACGTGGGGAAAACACATTTGTCCCAGGGTCCGGGCGGGTTTTCAGCTCAGCCCCTCACTCATGCCAGCAGCAAGCCCATCTCATGACAATGCCCAGGCAAAGACACGCACAAAAACCTCTTTCTGTGAAGTTTTCTGCATGCACAGGGCTGCTAGGAATTAAAGCAGCTCTCTCACTGTCAGGAGTCAGCCACAAGACACTCCCTCTACTGACTGCAGAGAGCCTTCGCCAGCCTGGTGCAGACAGTCTCAGGAGCACAAAGGATTCAGGACATTTCCCCCGTAACCTTTCAGGTCTGGGGACCTCAGCGTGAATGTAAGCAGCTGGTTCTGTGAGAGCCCCGGAGTTTTCCTGGTCTTCTCTGTTGAAGGCAATGCTTTAAAACAGATGTAAGTACTTCTGTACCAGAGCAAGGTTTCAACTTTGGTTGCTCTGCATTATAACTAATCAGATTTTTCTTTTTTCCCCAAGTCCTTCTGCTCAAGGACCTTAAAGCACTGCATAGTCTTAGACATGCGAGACATCCTCACACCATCAGGTGAGCACCATCTACTCACACCAAAGACTCTAGGGGAAAAAAAACAAAAAACAAACACAGCAGAAGTGAGCAAGAACTGGAATGAGAGCTCAGAACTCCCCTGAAGGTCTCCTCCAGACCCAGGGCTAGGTGTGCCTCCCTTTCCCAGGGTTTGGCCTTTGTGCAGACAGAAGAACAGTGCAGAAGCAAAACAGCCCCACCCTGCTCAAACTCATCTTGACACTCAGGCTGTGTCCTGGGCATCAAGACTTAAAACTGGTTCCTCTTCTTGGGTCCAACTGAACGCAGAAGCACCCTCAAAACCCAAAACATCCACGTCCTGTGGTTATTCCAGCCCAACAAACCAGCAGGAGACAACCTGGGAAATCTAGGAGCTGCCAGACACCGCAGACACTGGTGCACTGCTGTGAAGGAGCTCGACAATTCAGAGATTTTAAAGTTTAAAACACATATAGATAATCTATTTTCATCTTGGATGAGCACACTGACCTCCTTCCATTTTATTTACCCTGTGCACTGGACCTGGAAGAGGTATTATCCATAACACACAGACCTCTTCTGAGCCCTCCTCAGCACTTGACCACAGGTCCCACCCAGTGTCACCGCTCCTTCCTGCACCTCCCCATTTCCTTGAATGCTTTTGAAGAATAAGCTCTCACTGCTGGTAAAGGAAGGCACAGTAAAGCCTAGACAAACTCAACAACACTTGTTTTATGGGGCAACACATCCTGAGGCAACACACACAGGTTCCAAGGCTAACTCTGACCTTGCCACGTGGACCTTGGTGGACAACATCTCCATCTGACACACTAGATTCCCACCAGGAGCTGGGACAGGAGCAAGGAGATGCACAAACACCTGGATGAAGAACTATTTTCCATGAAATAAAATAAAGCTGGTAAAAATGAATTTTCCTTCCTGGCAGCCCAGTGACAGGCACCTCCCAGGATGCGCAAAACATCAGCATGGGATGGGGACGGGTTTTCCAGCAGCCCACATCAGGAAGGGATGGGGCATGGAGGCGATGGAGAGAGTTCAGTGCCCCAGGGGAGCTGCAGCACAGGGCTCCAGAAGCTGACGTTGCAGCCAGCCCCACTGGGGGGGGGGACTTTAACTCTGTGTGTAACAGCTACCAAAAGCAGTGGGCTGAGGATTTGTTAATTTTCGGGTTTTCCCTCCTGTATGGAGGAGTGTGGGACCACAGGAACCAGAAGCAGAGCTCACTGCAGAGGTGGAGCCTGCCTGAAAACTGGCACGACGCTTCCCTGGGCTGAAAGATTTTGGTTTTCACATGCTCCGTTTTTCCAGCCCGAAAAGATGAAATTTTCCACAGAAGCAGATGCTTTTCTTGAAAGATTTCTTTGAGTAGAAATGCCAAATTCTCCATCAGGAAACTGTTCTGATGGAAGCATTTTCAACAAGCCCTGTTCGAGATCTATTTCAGGACTGGCCTTCGCTGGCCTAAGTCAATTCTTTTAACTCATCGCGGCTTGTTTTTCCTGCTGTTACGTACTTCTAAATTCAGAGTGTCTTGGTTTTAATTGCGCTCCTGCCACCATTTAAACAAGCCCTTGTTCTGACTCAGGGCTGCTTGGCCCAGCATGACCCAGGGCTGGGAGCAGCCAGCCCCAGAAAGCCCCTTCCTCATGCAAAGTGCTTTTTTCCAGCTCCCTCTCTGAAAATCCACCCATTTTAAACCAGCTCTAAGGCTCTTTTTGCTCACTCCACCCATTTCCAGACTGACACTTCCTCTGTCAGGAGGGTTTAAAACCATTGTCTGCTTCCACAGGGTCATTTCCCCTGGCACTGCCGGTGGTGAGCTGAGAATTGTGTCTTCAATCCCAATTCCAGCTGAACTTGCTGCTGCAGTCATGCAGCATCCCTGGCCTTGGAGGCAGGATGAGGATGCAGGGGGTGGTGTTTGGTTTTGCATGGCCTCGAGCAGCCCAAGAAGCTCCACCACATCCCCATGCCTGGCTCCAGCATTTGGCCACCCTTCCCAGAGAGGGCTTTTACCAAATATCTGATTGCAACTCCCTTTGCTGCAGTGGGATCCAGGCCATGACCCCTTCTCACTGCTTTCTGCTCCCCATGCATGGACCAGAGCCATTGCGGCCGTTCTGCAAGGGGACGGGGTCACACAGCTGACCTCCAGCCTGTTGCTGCTCCAAGACACGCAGCAATGTAATGCTGACAAGTTCTGCTAGGAAACGTGTCTCATGCCTTTGGTTTCAGCCATTTTACTGCTTTTGGCGTTGACAGATAGTAATTAACAGCACAGGGCACAGTACAGCACGCTAACCCCGGGCTGACAGCAGCAGCCTCTGCATTGATCCACTCGATGCTGAAGCAGTCGGAGTGAATGGAGCCAACGCCAACAGACTGCTCCCCCTAAGAAAGCCCCCTGGGATGGGCGCTGCTGCACAGACACCCACAAAACACACCACCACTGGCAGGTCCTGCTCTGCACCTAGGAGGTGGTGACTTCATTTTTAGGTTGGAAATGAGGAGACATTTCTGCTCAGAAAGAGCAGTCAGGTATTGGGACGGGTTGCCCAGGGAGGTGGTGGAGTCACCATCCCCGGGGGTGTTCAAGGAAAGGTTGGACGTGATGCCTGGGGACAGGGTCTGGTGGTGACATGGGTGGTAGGGGGATGGGTGGACCAGGTGATCTTGGAGGGCTTTTCCAACCTTAATGATTCTTTGATTTTCCAGCATGTCATCCTTCCCCAGATCTACCAGCATCTCCTGAGCTTGAGCAGAGCATTCGTGGCCTCGGGTTGCCCTCTTGTGGCGCAGCTCAAGTGAGATATTGCAGCAGCATCCAACGATATTCAACATTTCCTGCAACCCCCCAGGAAGTGCAGATCTCTGCATCATGTGTTCAGACCTACTGACACGGATTTGTTCTTCTCTTACCTCCCTGCACGGCTTTGATGTAGCGTGCAGATCGGCAGCTGGGGTCTGCTGTGCTGAGCTGCACCCGCTCTGCAGCACGGAACAACATCCTTCCACTCAATGCTGGTTTTCATCAAAACAATTAAAAAAAACACTGCGTAAGGACAACTGGATTTCCAATAACAAATCAAGCCAAAAAGCTATTTAAAAGTTTGTTTTTAAGAAAATACCAAAACAGCCGATGCTTTAGCCAGGAACTGAACCAAACAGTTATCCTTGTCCTTCCCCAGATAAGCCCTATGAAACACTACATCCTTTCAAACCAAAAATGAAAGTTGTACCACCAAGAAAGGTTGCTTGTTCTCACTTTTATCCTTTCCAATTACAAAGGCCCTTCACCTTTTATTGGGCTGACCCCTGTTAAAAACTGAAGTTTGTTTTTTATCTAGAAATACTGTTTTCCTTGCTCAGCAGTACATACTGGTGGGAGCTTGATAATATCAGTAGCAGTTAGGGCCCCCACAAGCTGTTATTCAGCCAGGTAGTTTGAGCCACAGCCCTTATAGAGGTGAGTTAAATACATTCCTACAGGGGGTGATGGGCACTGCCATGTCTCGTGCCTCCAAAGCCAAGCTCCTCGCCTCCTAGGCGATATACCACTGCAGTGAGCATGCTGGATCAAGTGCATCACCTCCAGTGTATAGGCGCTTCCCCGGGATGCTTCTCCCAGCACTGGGCCAGACCACATAGCTGCTTTCGTATACTACAGCACAATCTCAAGAGCTACCACACTGGGGTTGGACCAAAGACATCTTTAATTCAGTGTCAAGCATCTGCTGCTGAGCTCCCACCAACCCAACCAATAAACACGAGGTTAAAAACCAAGCAAAACAAAGCCACAAAGCCTGCAAATTCAGTTGCAGTCATGATTTAGTAAGAGATATTTGACAAACAAACAGAGCCTATGAGGGAAATGGCCAGGTAACTAATCCATTTCCCCTCGACTACACAGCCTCTAGGTTGGAGCAGGTTTCTCTTCATTTATCAAGCACCAGCTCAGCACAGAGCCCAAAGGACAGAGATGCAAGGACTGGGTTGTATGGGAGGTAAGACCAGATGATTTAAGAGCTGCCTCCAGCCCTGAAATCTGCTAATAGACTTGGCATTTCAGAGAAACAACGGTTCTAGTAAAATCAATGGCAACACACTTTGATGAAAAGCTTGCTCCTAAGAGCCAATCTGTCTTTTTACCAGCACATCAGAAGCACAGCGAGCACTTCAAAAAGCCGTCAGTGCTCCGACTTTTCTTTAAGCTGGTCTCAAAGTGAGAAGCATATTTAAAAGCCTGAGATGCACAGGAGCCAGGAGTGCTCTGCTGCCATCTCCAGTGCACAGGGCAAAAAAACACACACAGAAGTCCAGTACGTGCCTTATCTGCTGGCACATGCCACGTGCGTTTTGCAAATTAGAGAGACCTGCTGGCATTTGCTACAGGAGAAGATCGGTGCCTTATGCTGATGTCCCTCAGCAGCATCTCTGTCACTGCTGGGGACTCTGCTCTCGTCACTTCTTGCTCTCCAGCTTGGGCACTGCCCTCTCTGCTCACACAGGGGGAGAGGTCACAGCGCTGATGTGCATGATGTGGTGACAAACTGGATGGTGGCAGGCAGTTATCCATGGAGAAAGAGGACATGCTCCCAGCAGCTCCTCTCTCACATACACAGCACTGAACTCCCAGCAGGGGGACACAGGTGGCTTTTTTTTCCCCTGATCTTCACCCATTAATCAACCAAATAAGACACCCCAATCAGTCAGGCACATGCTTAGGCCAGAGCTTCATGCTCCAGCTGGCCATCTCCTCCATCCTCCCCTCCCTCCAAGCAGACTGAGAGCCACAGGGATTTGAAATAACCCATGGAAAAGCACAGCTCAGGCTACATCATGGGGGCACCCTGCAGCCACCAGTGCTACAGCACATCTGAGGGGCCAGCAAGGACAAGGAATTGGGGAAAGGAAGCTTGGGAATGCCCCAAGTTTGTATCTTCACCACCAGCCCAGTATCTATTTAAGTTGGTGCCCAACAGCTTATTCCACTGCTAGGATTTTTAAAGTTACAACAAACCGAGAAACTTGGCACATTAATGAAATACAGGTCACAGAGTAGGTAAAGAAAATAGAGAAGCCATCACTACCTTAAGTGGCACCAGCCCCCTCCACAGTGCCACTGAGCCTTGGAGCTAGGGAACAGGGATAGGCATTTCCATAAGGGAACAAGCCTCCTGAATCCCCATAGGAAAACCTCCAGCCCGCAGTCATTCCCCCACGCAAGGCTGTGTCCTGTGCCACCAGGGCACATCACCCAGTCTCACCTTACCTGCCCACAGCCAAACATGCACCCATCCTCATGCCAGCAATCCCAAGGAACCAACAGAAGGAGCTGAACCCCCCACAGCACCTCACTGGGACACACCTCACACCCCCAGTGCTCAGGAGCAAGTGCCAAAGCCCACCTCCAGCTTCCCCCAGCTGGTGGCAATTCATCCCACATCAGAGCACACAGCTTTGCGATTCGGGGCACCTGTGTCATTCTCAGCACCATCTGCTCTCCCTCCTGGCTCCTAAAACACCCTTTTTATTTTTCTCTCAGGTGTCGCTGCACCTTCTGTTGCACGAACATGGCCACTTGCACCCCCTGCATGGACCTGCATGGAGCACAGCACTGCTGTCCCTGCAGGAACCGCTCAGCCATGCTGTGAACAGCCCAGCAGCTCATTTGTGATTAGCTCTTTGCACATCTAACACTTCCTTTCTGGGCTATCAGAGCAGCTTACAAGTGTAAAGGGCCCCAGGTGCTCCCCAGAGCTGCTGAGCAGCACAGCGTGGTGCAGGCACCAGCCCTGACCCCAAAAACAGCTGCTGGGGCTGAGCCCTGGATCTTGGCCGCACCGCGTGTACCCTGAGATGTGGGCACGCCGCCTGCAGCTCCTCGTAGCAGTGGTTACACGCCAGCTCCTTGTGATAGCAATCCACCCACAGACTAGACAACAGCAGTAACCCCTTTCCCCTCCTCCACTTTATTTATTTATTTATTTATTTATTTACTTATTTATTTATTTATTTATTTTTTAACCAGATGTAAGCTTTACAGCCCATTCAAGCCACAAGTTAAGTGTTGAACAATATGACTGACCTGAGGACGTGGGCCACAGCAGTTTTCATATGTGCTAATGAGGGCTGCAGCACCCTGATCCTGATCTTCTGGGTGCTGCAGGGAGCTGCCTGTCTCTGCTGGGGAGCAGGTCACTGTTTCTTTGCAGCACTGTCCTCCTAAATAATAATCAATTCATAATTTTGCCAGAAGGACGTGCATCACAAGCGAGCCGTCAGAAAAACAAACATCCTGCCGCTCCCTACGTGGCTGCTGGGGACGGTGAGGATATCCTTCATGTGGTAGGGGCAGGAGAAGGCCCCACCACATGGCTGAGGTCCCTCCATCACCCGGCCCATGGCCCCGCTGCGTCCTGTCAGCAGCCCTGCCATGAGTGGGGCATGGGGCACGTCTCTGCTACGGCTGCCCCCCACCGTCTCCTGCAGACAGAGAAGGCCGCAGGTCACCTCCCCTCATGGGGCAGGGATGGACCTTACCCTGGGTCCCTTCACCATGTCTACAGGGGTTGAGGAAGCTTCCACAAGTAACCAGAGCTTGGGCCATGCCTAGCAGAGAGCAGAGAGGGTTTCACCCAACGCTGTTCTTCTGTTACTCTTTCTGAAGGGAACCAGATGAGTTCACTAGAGGGGATCCTGAAGCAGGACCTCTTTGTACACATGCACAGAGAGAGCGTGGGACAGGAGGCACCACCGCTGCTTCCTCCCCTGTTAGAGACCAGGACCTCCAGCTGACACCAGCACGGCCCGACATACCTGCCAGCTGCTCTTCTTCCAAGCTTTTTTTGTGTGTCTCTGTGGGCTAGGCTGATGCAAGAACCAACATGTGAAGCTCCCTGTCCCCACGTTCCCCTTTTCCTCCGATTTCTGGCCTCAGCCCACCTTGCCCACATCAAGCAGCCGGTGCCCTGAGCCTCGTGCGGGAAGTGCTGTTGGCCCAAATGAAGCGTAACGTGCCGGGCTGTCCCTAACAATGGGCTCCTCTGTTTGGCTTTCCCCCCGAGGGTTATTATAGCCGGCGTTTATCTTGGACCAGGGCCAAAACACGCATTAGTGCTCCTCATCCTGTGGGTTTCTGCACACAGCTCGGACGAGTGTAGGGGGTTTACAGCCACCGGGCCAAGCTGGGGGAGAGGTTTTCAGGGGGTTGAAATCTTCTCCCTGCACGTGCATTGCTCTGTGAAACAGGGAAGGTGAGGACTGGCCCCATCTGTGCGCTAGGGACAGGTTCAGGGTTCTGCCCCATAGTCCCAACAGTGCTATAGGGCTGTGCAGGAAGTCATTTTGTTTTCTTGTGTTGAGAGAATGATCCTGAATCCCCCTCATACATGTTTTGGGACTTAATGAGAAAGGTTCCTGCTGTCCTGGGAGGATGGATGTGCCATGGCTGGAGAGATGCTTCTACACCTGGTACTGTAGACACGTCTCCATGCCAGGCACTGTGTGTGCCATTTCTCTTGCTTTCCACAGAGGCCCAGCACAACTCAGGCAAAGCTGACACCCCAAAACCTTCTCCCTTTCCATCCCCGGCCCAAAGAAGCTGCTGCTGTTCCTACCAACCCCACCAGGGCAGCTCCTGCCCAAGGTCAGAAGACCTCGAATTGCTTTCTGCAGCCCCAAAAGAAGCACCATCAGCAGGGTGCTGGGCAAGCACGGCTTGCAGGAGGTACAGGCACAACACCAAGCTGTGCCACCACTGTGTCCCCTGTGTCAGCCGGTGCTTGCCGCAGCTCCAGCACGTTCCTGGCTGAGTTCTGACCGTCGTACAGCCTGCATCTGCTCCCTCTGCTGGGCTGTAATTAGGAAACAATATTATTAAAACTCATTCCCATCTCCGCTTTCCTTTCATCTCCCCTCCTTCTTGTTGTTCATCTATTATCCTCCCTTCACAGCCTGTGGCCTTTGGACTGCATGCTGATGAGCCCTTGTTTAGTCTAATCGGCAGTGCTTGTTAATGGTGCTCTAAGTGCAGTTTGCAACCACCTGCTCTGCGTTTGCTTCCCCCAAGTCCTGGCCTCAGAGCCAGCTCGGCTTCTGTGCCCCAGCCCCTGTTTCTACAAAGTCACAGGGGTTATTGCTGCTTTCATACCAAGATGCATGGGAGCACCAGTCTCACTGCCCACATGGAAGCTGAGCTCTTCCAGCACTGAGCAGAGGGGCCTTGGGGGAAAAAAGGTGGAGCAGAGGAACCAGAGGACCTTTAAGGAAGTGTTTTGGGGCTGGTGGAGATTGGCAAGGGACCCCTCTTGTGCCCCTCTGAAGGAGGACATCAGAGTTTGAGCTACCAAAACTGCACGCTCCAGTGGGGTAATAACTCCTAATAGCAACATGATTTGGGGCAAATCACTGCATGTAGGCTTTCCAGATGTAGTTTCATTCCCATTAGTATATTCTTCACACCCTTACTTGTTTCCACAAGGTTCCTCTCAGGTCATCTTCTCCCCCTGCAGCCATCCATGTGCCACCCCTGGGTGCTGGGTGCTTGCTGTAATATTTCACACAGCAAAGATTTATCTTTGATTCATGCATTGTACAGTCAAATTTCAAGTCTTAAGTGTGGGCCCAACACCCACAAACACAAGTCCCTCTGCTGAATTCATCGAGTGGGAAGAAACAGATGGGAGCTGATGACAAGTGGTGCTGCTGGAGGGGAAGGGGAGAATCGGGTGGCTCAAGAGCAGAAGATGCTCTGGTGGAGTTACTGAACCAGAGAAATGGATTCTCCTCTCTACAAGACAAAGGGTGACAGCAGGGCTGTAGGAGATGAGCACTATTTATACATGGCACTCCAGAGCATGCCAAGATGTCATTGCAACCCAGGTTCAAAGGCACAGCCACTCTACACACACTGCAGCATGGCAGCGATGCCCTGAGCTCCTGCAAGGGGCTGGGCATGGGAAGTGGCTCAGAGCTGCTGGACGAGCAGCTGGGAGCCATCCACCACCCGGCACAAGAAGCACAGTTCCCCTGCAGTCAAAGACCAGGTGTTTGGGTGGTTAAACCTGGCTCCTTTTCATGGACTGGGCAGCGCTCCCTCTGCAGCAGATGACTTAGGTTGGGTTTTGAAGGCCTCTCTCATTTTGGTGTCTGTGCTTACTGCAAGTAGATGGAAAGATCTAGAAGCTGAGGTCGAAAGGAAAAGTTAGTAGTTATTTACAAAAACAACAAAAGCATATTGAAGACCTCTATACAATTTCCCTACCTAATTTTCTCCTTTTGTTTGGCTTCAGCTGGATGAGAACCTCTGTCTCTAACCACTGTGAGCCATCAGCTCCCAGTGACAGGGCGCTTGGAGACGGTTTGCTGGGAGCTGCAGAAAGCAATTTGCCAAGCACAATGCTGTCTTTGAACCTAGTAACTTGCAGACAATAGTACTCTTTTACATGCTAATAGATAGCATTGTTCTTCAAATGTCTGACATTTATAGCAATATAATATCTCTGTCGAAAAGCATGCCAGTAATGGGCACAACTTCCCAACGTGAGTGCTGAGGAAGCAGAAGGATGGAGCGGGAATTAATATATGAGATTTGTTACTGAATTCCACTTTAGGTTTCCTCCAATCGCTGCCGTTTCCTTCCTGTATTTCAAAACTGATGACTGCTCTGAAAGGTAAGTCACAAAAAACTCAGGGTAAATATAGCTGCAAACGGAGATGGGCTGTAAATCAGCAGCATCCACCTGGAGGCTTTGTTGGCTGGTTTCCAAACGAAAAATCAGGGACAGGCCTAAGCAGCCCTGCTCATTGTCAAAGAGAGACAGCAGGATGGAATAACCACCTGGAGAAGACGTTTGCTTGAACTAGATGAATTATTAATAAACTTATTGATATTTATTATTGTTCTTACTCAGTCTGTCTCACTCCACATTTTAAAATGGATTTTGGCCCTTCCTTATTATGTCTAGTAATGTCCAGATGTGAAATGAGGAGACGTTTCCCATGGGGATGGTACCTAAATCATGGTGTGACCGGCTCTGTGCTCTCCTGCTGGCTGCATTCCCTGTCCCAGCCATGAGGACCCACCTCCATGTCACCAATTGCCTCTTTGTACTTCAGAGGGAATTGCTGGGCATTCTGCAAGTGAGCCCGTGGGTTTGTTAAACTGCCTGGTTGTTGCCTGGCTGTGGTGAGAGGTCTCAGACCTGTTCCCAAATCTACATTCCCCTCAGGCAGCCTGTGCTGGTCCTGCTTGCTGTGGCCATGAAGCTGCAGTAGAGTAGGTTCTCACATATGTGCATCAAAACCTTCATAATATTGTTTGTATTACAATAAACAATCCCTTAACCAAGGGCTGCAGGACTGCATTGTTCTCTCCTAATGTCCTCGGCCTCCTAAACCCACAGAGTCTCTGCCCTGAAGCAGTCTCAGCCAAGCTGATAGATGCCCAGAGGTGGAGCAGTGAGTGGGGCAGGAGGTGGGGATTGGAAATCTG